GCGTGCACCACCAGCACCCGGCTGTAATTGTTTCTCTAGGCATTTACACCTAGAAGCAATATGTGTATCCATTGAAATCTGTCCCACCAGTCTGTCTTCAGAATGGCTTTGCCACTTTACTCACGATCCCCGGGACCTTCATCATTCATCTTTCTAAGTTTTTAGTCTACTGAGCATAAAGAATGGAGAAGGATAGAGGTTGTGATGGCTTTAATTACTTTCATTTGGAGTTGCACCAAGTTTTTGGTTCCTAAGAACCAAAATTTTAACTTGGGTTCTTCTGGTTAATGTGTGAGCACATATATTTATGTTTTTAGCTCATTAGAGTTAATCTTCTAAAAACTGCCTGCTTATAATCTTGGACAGTTGTCCTATTAGAACCTTTATTTAGTTATTTTTATGACCTTGGCATTCTTTGTCTCTTACAAAGACTAGTTATTTGTGAACTTAGAGGTTATGAAATATAAAATCCTCTCCCCAGAGGCCGCATGGCTAGAAGCCTGCAGGTCAGCTATCCTAGAGAACACAGCACAGAGGAAACAAGGGTGGTCTTTCCTCAATACACCGGAGAGAGAACTGGCTCCCGAAAATGGTACTCTGAATTCCACACACTACACAGCACACATGTGCCTGTGGATTCACTCACACACCACACACAATAATAAATTATTATAATAATTAAATAATAATTTAAAATTAGTATGAAACAAATAGTATGAGCTATATAGGATCTTAACTAGGAATAGGTCATTACATAAATATTTAAAAGCTGAGTTCATTATAAGATATTAAAATAGAAAATTTAAAAGGAAGCAGTTCATTTTTTAAAAAAGTATTTATTTGTGTGTTTGTGACTCTGCAGAGGTCATGGAGGGCATCTGGTTCCCTTTAGCTGCTGCTGCTGTGCTGGCAAGCTGACCAATGTGAGTGCTGGGACCCAAACTCAGGGGCTTTGAAGAGGCAGAGTTCTAACCTGAGCCACCTCTCCAGACCCCCAGAGAACAAATCTAGCAAATGGTACAGAACACTTTAAAATCACTGTCTTCGTGTTAGTCCAATGGGCCTTTTCCACTATACGCTGCACAAACGCTGCTCTTTGGGCAGCAATGAAACAGAAATAAACTGACCACTCTAAGTGAATCACTGACAATATATGGCTTTCTCATTAAAAACAAAACAAAAACTCAACCAAAACTCCCAGGAAACTATTTCAAACAGAGAAGTACAGACTTGGGAGTTTCCACTAAACTACAAAGAAGTTTTCAAATATTGTTGGATTAGAAAAGCATCCAGGACCACTTTATCCTACTGTGAATTTGGGATTTTAATTTTATTTTAAATTATGCGTTCACAAATATAGATGCTCATAGAGGGCAAAGGAATTACAGGTGGCTAAGAACCGAACTCCAATTCCTGCACAATCAGTGGTCGCTCTTACACACTGAGTCATGGCTTCAGACCCATTCAAGGATTTAAAAACTTCTGTTTTTATCAGCCTGTATGTGTGTGTGCACATCTTAGCACATGTGTGTTGGTCAGAGGACAAACTGTGAGTCAGGTCTAGCCTTTCACCATGTGGGTTCCCGGGAACTGAAATCAGATCATCAGGCTTGGTGGCACATGCCCTTCCCCTACACTGAACCATCTCGATGACTAAAGTCAGGAATTTCCACAATGTATTTATTTCCTAAGTGGTTGAGTCTTTTCGGATTTTTGTATGTGAGTATGGCATATTGAGTGCACCTGTGTGTAGGTGCACCTGCCCATGCGAGTCCACGTGTACAAAGGCAAGGCTTCCGTGAGCGCTTTCCAACTTAAGACAGGGTAGGATTTTTCAATAAACCTGAAGTTCACTATATCTCAGTGAGCCCCAGGGATCCGCCAGTCTCTACCCCCAGCTCTCAGATTACAAACATGCTACTGGCACCGGCTTTACATGTGGGTGCTAGGTATCTGAACTCTGGCTTTCCTGCTTCTGCAGCGGGTCTTTTACCCAGAGAGCCAGCCCAGTGAGCCATCTCCTCAGGTCTTCAGACTTCCTCTGAAAAAAGGCAAGCCATACCTCCGTCTTCACACTGCCAAGTCTGCATCGCAGAAAAAGAAACTACAGCTTTCGATCCGGAATTTTCTTTTCTTTTTATAGACCAAACTGTGGTAAGATTTTAAAAGTCACTGACTCATTTTTTTCCCTAGAATAAAACACTTAAAGCCTCTTAGGTGTAAAATATAAGATGACAAGGGTTCCTTATTAATGTCATGTTCCTATGATGAATGTTTTTAAACAGTCAAATCACATGATTTTGGAAGGAAAAAAATCCCAAACAAGAATATCATTTAAATGATGTTTTGTTACAATGATGCATTCTGAAATCCAGGCTGACCTCACACTTGAGGCAATCGTCTTGCCTCTGCCTCTACAGAGCTGGATCACAACTGTGGGACACCACACCCAATTCTCATTTAAATTCTGGAACCACACAAGTGTACTAATAGAGAAAGTTGAATGGAAAAATCAATTAGGCAGAAACAAAGCAAAGTGATCTTTGTGGTTTTAAAGCTGTAGGATATAAAACCTTTAGGTGGTAGTACTTATGCACACCACCCCACTTTCTTACCAATGGGGACACAAATCAGTATCTTTTATCTACATTCAGTATTTTGAAGGCAACTGGTGGTTTGCTCTATCCTGCCAATTAAAACTATATAATAGTTTGCCTTTTTAAAAATGATAAGGCCTTAGCTAGAGTGATGGCCCGTGCAGGTGGATCTCTTGAGTTCAAGGTCAGCCTGGTCTACAGAGTGAGTTCCAGCACAGCCAGGGCTACACAGAAAACTCTGTCTCAAAAAACCAATAATAATAATCATAATGCCCATCAGACCAAAACTAATTGAGTTCTGTCCTGGAAATGCATATAGGTAGGGCCAACAAATAAAATGCATCAGAGAAAGCATGGAAATTTTTAAATACTTTTCAGGCTTGATTAAACCTTTGGTGATGATGGGATTCATTACTGTCATCTACAAAGTTCACACTCAAGAACTGCACAATTGAGCACCCCCCCCCCAAAGAAACTTCATAATGTTTTAAGTAAGTTTATAGGTTTTTTGTTTGTTCTTGGTTTCTCCATGTAGTCCTGGCTGTACTGGAACTCGTTCTGTAGACAAGGCAAGCCTCGAACTCACAGAGATTCACCTGCCTCTGCCTCCCAAATGCATGTGTCAGCACCCACAAGAATAGTTTTGTGATGGGTCAAATTCACAGCTATCTGAGGCTGCACGATGCTCACAGGTCACACTGGCCAGTTCTGCATCCCTTTCTTTAAGCATCCTACAGAGGGAGGGGCTGATGATGCTCTCCATTTTCAGACTACTGCCTTCTGGGGCCAGCATAACGTCTCACTGGGTATAATGCTTGTTGTACAAGCCTGCTGACCCAAGCTCAATCTGTGGAAGCCACAAAGGTGGAACAAGAGAGCTAACTTCCACATCATATGTGAGCCCACTCCTACACACACACACAGACACACACACAGACACACACACACAGACACACACACTTACAAGAGTATTGAGATTTTTAAGTCAGATATGTTAAACTTAAGAAATCCAGACATAAGTATACAAATAGCATTGACCAATTACTTTTTAAGTAATATAAATGAAAACTAAAGATAAAATTTTAAATGGATAACACATGATCTTGTTATGCAGTTTAGACACAAATATTCACAGATGTGCTGGGAAGATAGCTCAGAGCTTACCACACAAGTTGAGGACCAAAGTTTATATTCTTATGGATCCACGGGGCGACCTGCCTCTAAGTTCAGTGTTCTAGGGACAGAGAAAGAATTTGAGGGACACTGACTAGCTAGACTGTCCAAATCAAGAGTTCCAGGGTTCACAGCGATCTTACCAAAGTGTGTAAGGTAGAAAGCAATGGAGGAAGACATCTGACATCAACTTCTGGCCTCCAAACACATGCACACCCACACACATTTGAACGTGTGCACACATACATGCACATAAAAATGTTCACGGATCCAAAGATACACTAACAAACTGCTCATTCTTAGTAAGGGAACCATTGCACACAGGAACACAAGACATCATGAAGGGCCTGACTCAAGGTCCCAAAAAGATATTCTTAGCCAAATCTCTCTCTATTGCCCCTACATGTTGGTGACAGTGAAAATGAAAAACTAGGTTTTTGTCATCATCAAAAGTTTCAACGCTGGTGGTGACGACACATGCCTTTAATCCCAGCACTCGGGAGGCAGAGGCAGGTGAATCTCTGTTAGTTCAAGGCCAGCCTGGACAAAAAGAGCTAGTTCCAGGACAGGCTCTAAAGCTAGAGAAACCCTGTCTCGAAAAAAAAAAGTTTCAATTTCTTTTTAAGATTTTACTTTTTAAAAAGTATAAAAATATGTGTGTGTGCATGTGCACATGCCCATGTCTTATGAATACAGGTGCCCATGGCGGCCAGAAGCCTAAGACCCCCTGGAGCTGGAGTTACAAGCTGTACATTGTTGGTCCTAGGAACCAAAATTAAGTACTCGGGTCCTCAGGAAGAGCAGTTAAGTGTTCTTAGCTGCTAAGCTATCTCTCCATATCCTATATTTCTCTTTTGAAAAACACTAAAATTTTCTAAATCTTACATATATAAGATATTTCTTAAGAAAATTATCCTGTGGGAGCACTGATAGCTCACTGGGTGAAGATGTTTGCTACCAAGTCTGATAACCCAAGTCTGAACCCTGGGACCCACTGATGGAGGGGAAAACTAACTTCTGCACGCTGTCCTGACTCTGCTTTGAATATACACACACATTAAAATGTAAAAATATAGATAAATAAATTAAACTTTGGTATTACTTCACACTTAAAGTAATTTCAGTGACATCATGCAAAAAAGTTTCAAACGACAGTTTTTGGCACATCTATCAAGCATGTGTGTACAACCTTAGAAATATAAATAAACAGAAAATGTAAGTGGGTCTTACCAAATTTTCTCTTCTGAAACAACTACCACCGCTACTGTGTAACACAGAAGACATTCTGCAGCAGTTACAGAACCGGAAGGCAAACAGTGAAAGGCACAGCACCAAACAGAGGCTTCAGGAATTAAATGCCAGGATTCTCGGGTGTACAAATCTCACTGTTTCAGAGGGAAATGTTATCTACTTATATAAATATCCAAGAATGCTCTGTGCTCTCGCAAAGATTAAGTTCATCCCTAGCCTTACTAAAACCAGCACCTCCCCTCTCCCAAAGCACCTCGGAGCACTTCCTAACATACTGTTTAACAAGTCAGAGGTAACTGTAACTTCCTTCAGAGCAAATTAACCCTGCACTTGTGACGCTTTGGAGTGACCTTACAAACCCACCAGTTCTGGGTGCTCGCCTTTCCAGGCACAGAGCCAGTTTGCTAGCGTCCATGCATTCTGCCACGGCACCACCCAGTGAGACAACTGGACAGTATAGCTCATTTTCAAAGGAATTTCTCAATCTTTACTCAACTAGCAAGTTAAATACAACAGTCAGGACAAAGGAAGGGGGAAATTCTAGCTGACTGGCAACGCAACACGCTATGAAACTGAAACCACATTAGACAGAACTGCATACAATTCTAGCCAGTTCTTTCTTTTCTCTTCTATACTCGGGGAGTCAGGTACAAAGTAAATTCAAAGATGGGCAGAGTTAGGAAAATCCCACACACATCAAAACCTTAAACAATATACAAATGTGACCTGACATGAAAAACGACAGAACTGTTTACAGGTTACAAAACACCAAACACAGCGAAACATAGTTTCCCCTCTCTCTGTTCAGTCACGCCTTTAAATTTAAAAATTGATATCAGAGTTCCAAAATTACAAACCCCTTCATCAAATGTGAGTGGTGAAACCTCCTAACACTACTGAGAAATGGTTTTCCTGATCAGTCATACCTCACTAGGTAGATAAATCCAGATTATGGAAACAGAGAGCACGTATGTAAGAGTATATACTGGCAGTCACATGAAGACCCAAATTCGTATGGACAGGTAAGACAGGTACTGGCATGCTCAGCAAGCGTATGTTAGCATTAGGGTAACGTATTAGACCCTAAGATTCTAAAACCATGCCACTTTATGTCAAAACACAGCAATTCATTTTGTCTCAGGTGTTCACAGGGCCCAATATCAAAGATCAAAAGTTTCAACATGCGGAGGAACACTGTGAGCCAAATGTAACACAGGCAAGAGCAAACCTGGGTTCCCCCAAAGAATCCAAACAACTTTTCAGCACCAGGAAAGCCAACGAGGCTTGCTCCCTAAAGATAAAGTTACTTATGATCCTGGCATCTGCTTTCAATTAAGCTTTGTACACACACCTTTCCACAAACAATTACAAACACACACACACACACACACACACACACACACACACACACACCACTCCTCGGGACTTTTGTACAGATTTAAGAACACACCCATGCTAACAGAAGAGAATTTCACAAGCTGAAACTGCTTGACAAGCAAATTTTGCAAACAAGGACTAAGTTCAGCAGAAGCAAAAGACAGCCAAATACCCGACCACACCCACGCTGATAAAATCTCTTACACAAAAAAAACTAGACAGACAACACCCTCGTGAACACCCTTGCTAAATTCTGACTCTTCCCTGAGCCCCACTACCCTCGGGGAGGGGTAAATCCTGAACAACCACGATTACAGATTATGCTAAATATAAGACAAGACGGCCGAGCAGAACACAAACCATAACCGCAGAAAACACACCCGGACACCCAGGCATAGGCCACACAGACAGTTCAAAGGCAGAAGGCCAGACCACCAGGATGTGGACGCCTGCGACCCCTCAAGCAGTTCACAGATCTCAGAGGCCTCCTGGCTCATAGAAACACTGCAAACCCAGCATGGACCCTCTCAGGCCGCTTTTCCACGCCCGGGACAAGACTGCCAGGTCTTTGGCCACCCCAGGGGGCTGCTATTGACATTCTAACGAGCCGGACAGTCCCCCAAGACCCTCAGAAAGGCAGATAACCTCTTATAGCCGTCTTGGAGGCGGCCATGACAGCAACAAAGAGCGGATTTTTTACGACAACTCCCACAATGCCCGTGGACTACAACTCCCAGAGTGCAGCGGGCGGCCCCACTGTTAACCCTGTAGTGGCTCCAGGGCTGGCGAGCCCTGCTCCTTCTTTCGCCCAGAAACCAAACTGTTGCACCTACTTTCAACTTTCACAATTCGAAAATAACTTAGAAATTTTGACCAACAACTGCATTTACGCTATCTTGACTCTTCCTTTTACCATAAAAACAATCTCAGGTTCCCAGAACATTGTCCCTGGCAGAGTACTTTTTGTTAATCTCCAGAGATGTCAAACTGTCAAATAGTCACTATTACACGGGTACATTTAGGTTCAATTAATTTTCCCTTTAACCTTTATAATTTTCTAGGCATCTTCTAAATTATTAGAGTTCCCAGAATCTTGTACTACACACTATTTTAATTTAAAATACATTTTCTAAACTTCTGGGACTCAAGAGAAGGACCATCTTGTAACTGCTACAACGTCCTACATCTCTCCATTTAATAAAACATTTTTTCTTCAAATACATTAATTTACAAACTTTGTGCAACTCAAAATTAGTCTTAATAAAAAAATTGTTGACAACATAAATTTTCAATTTCAAGCTAAAATTTTAGGAAGAAAACCCCATGTGCTAACATTTCCCTTTCCCCACAGAAAAGCTATCAATACCAACAGCATATAATGCTATTTCCCCCCCTGACTTTAGAATGACAAGAAAACAACAAATAAACATTCTTAGGAGATTTTAAAAACTATACTGAGAATTCATTCTTTCTGGAAACTGTGTAATTGTATATTCTATTTATGAATGACGTTTTTCAAAGTCTGTTTCAATTTAATTAGAAAAAAGACTTTTAAATGCATTTTCTTCAAATATTTTGGCCATCATTTCAGTAAAGAATGACAGGTAACATTTACAGGTTAATGTCTCATTAGAATAACTTAAGAAGTCCTTGATGCTCATGTGCAGAGAGTTCCCAGGCAGGTAACTGACTGAGGGGCGAAGCAACTGGCTGGGCTTTGCTGCAGGCACTAAACTAACAACTAGCATTCTTCCAAATATCCGGGGGTTTTCTACTCCCAAATATGAAGCAAAATGTACACGAGGTCTACTTTTTCTTCTGAAGTATTTTGCAACTTGAAAAGGCACTCAAAATATATCATGAATTTCAGATGATAAAACTCAGAAATCCTACAAGACATAAAACCAGGCCCCCCCACCATGGCCTTACTATATAAATACATTGTCAGTAAAATATTTCAAATTCTGTTTTAAACGATTCCCTACTTAGTTACAGTTAGCTTATTAATATATTTTACATCTAGCAAACTACAATGAGAAAGAATCCTAACTCACTCTTTCCTTTCTTACCTATTTCATTTTGTACTTTCATAAACAATCACAAGTGCTGCATTACTTACCAGAATATAAAAATTGGAAATATGTGAGTTTTTGAAATTTTAGTGTGTTATACTATTTCTATTTTAGATGTTATATTTCCTAATTTTCACTTAGAACTTTAGTTAGTATTTAGCTAGACAAATTTCATTTTCCCTTTATTTTTAAATAGCCATCAAAACATAGACAGTTGATGCATATTTTATATATCGTTCTCTTGCTGTTAAGTATTTGATTCATAAAAAGGGCTCAGAAACAAGGGAGAAATGAAACTGATTCCATATAGTTACCCATGCTTTTAGATTTCCTCTCAGGGTTATGAAACTATATTTTCTATTAAATCAAATCATATTTTCTTTACTTTAATTGTAACAATAAAATTAGAGTTATTGTATTAAAGAAATTTATGTAAGAATTACAATAGAAAAACTTTCTAATTGTTTTCTGTTTACAATAGTCTTTCTTTGAGAAACAATTTAGCTCAACATATCTTGTCTAAGTAATTAAAATAAGCTTACACTATGTATCTTGTATTATTAAAAATATTTTTATAGGAATAGAACAATTTTATTGTGGAAATGAAGTTTTTAACTTGAAAGCAAAAAATTTACTATTTCTTACCAATGTTCTTAAATTCTATTTTACTAAATTAATTTTTAACGTGTATGTTTTTGAAACCTAAACTCTCTACTAAATTTTTTCAAAGTGCTTATATTTAATTGTGTTAATACATTTGAAATTGCCATATATCTTGTGTGTTTTTGAGAATATCTAGATCAATTGAAGACAGACATGGATACCTATTTCTCTCAGATGTGTGCTGGTGATGCACCTAAAATATGCAGCCTTTCACAGTTATAGGAAATTCCATGTGTAATTTCTATAACCATTTCTTTGTTATTTTAATTTAAAATAAGGCTTAACAGAATCTTAAACTGTCTGTTTAAATATTGTAACTGCAATTTTAGGCTACTTGCTTTTAAACATCTGCTTTTTGTGCATGGAAGCACAAAATAAATTGTGCAATAAAATAAATCATGCAAATAAATCGTGCTAATAAAAGTATTAGTAAAAGTAGAAGGGGTTGCTAATATTACAATATGCTCGAAAGTTAGACTATCTGCTCATAATCTTACATTAATTACTACTGCAACATAATCATCAAGTTCTGAAAAGAGGCCACACATGAGGCACAGGTTTTTTTGACAGATTAAGCAAATTGTTTATATTTATATTCTGACTCTTCAAAAACAATTATTTCCTAGCATGTATTTAAACAACTCCCCGGTTGCTGCTCAAACCTTAACTAATTTGAATTTCTTGGCCTTATTTTCAAGCAAGGACCTGCCTTTCAAATTCACCCAGATAGTATTTTTATTATTGGAGTGGTAGATACTTATATTTAGGATAATTTATCTAAAAATCAAACCCTTTGCTTTTGACTTTGCATTATAAATATAACTTTCATTTTAATTATGTCATCTTTTAAATACTTTTCAAAGCTTCCTCTTGAGACTCCTATGCTGGCAGCCTATGACAAACAGAAAGCAGAATGCTTATTTTTTTCTTCCCTATTAATTAACAAACTGATCTTTTTTAAATAAAAATTTCAAATTAAGTACTTTAATATAGCTTAATATTTCTCCTTTCTGTCATTTCTGTTTTCTCTATCAGTTAGGATGAGCAAAGTGGAAGTTCTTGTTACTTCTTATGCTCTGATTAAAATGTTTTCTTGTTGACTAACAAATAATAGAAAATATCTCCTTACCCAAAAAAGGAAAGTTTTAACTTAAAACAAAATCTCAAGAAAGAAAAAATAAAGGAAACCCTCACAGTTTTTTTTTTTTTTAGGATGTAAAACTAATGACATTTTTCTATAGACTTTTAAAAAAGAAAACCTAAGTAAATGATTATGGTCATCCCTGTCCTGTGAAAAATCATAATGGTTTGAAGAATATTTGAATTTCTGAGTTTAATGTTAGACAGCAAATGCTGTAAATAATATAGTTAATGCTGGAAACTTCTTTAAAAATTCCATTTTAGATTTTGCGACAAATGATCACAATTACACAGCCCCTCATACCCACAGCTGGTCTGTGTTTTATTTTGCCACTAACATGTCTGGGAAGTGAAAGGTTTTATTTATAACCCCACAGTTTAAAAATCTTCTTACTATATTTTATTATTAACTAACCTTATCTGTCTTTAAATTTTTTCTAATACATAAGTATGTCTATTTAAGACATAACATTTATATTTTAAACTTCAAATAAAAATGAAATAAAAAACCAAAGCCTAAAATGTCTAACTTTTAAAATGTCTTTGTAGATCCATATCAGTTTCTTCCCTTGATTTGACTTAGTCTGGGTTTCCTAAAAACAAGTATGCTGTTTCTCCAACCTCTTCCACCCCATAATTTTCTCCCTGAATCCGATTTATAATCACTAACTCACTTGCCTTCCACACAAGAAAAAAATCTTTCTGTTCAGAAAACTTTCAGACTCCTTTCTTTCTCCTTCATTTCTGGGATGTACCCACTTTATCAAATTCTAGAGAAGAAAAACGATTATTAGTCTGGTTTTTCCCCCTCCAGATGATGGTTCCAAGGCTTTGTTTTCTCACCCTTCCCTCCGTACAACTAGACCACGCACCAGTCAGCTCCTTTAAAAAAAAAATAGAGCAACAAATTTTGCCTAACAACTCTCTCCCCCAAAATTTGATGGCATATTCTCATTCTGTTCAGGGATTTCTATATAAAATACAACCTGGCTAAGATTCTTTTTTCCTACTCTGAAAATAACCAATTTCCAGTCTCTGGCAATTTCTTGTTCACCTAGTCTGCCACCGCATTCCATGTGAGGGGTCTCACACAGATGAGCAGATGAAAGACCACAAGAAAAAATGTCCACCACAGCCTTGACCCTGCCCAGCAGAGATGCTATGTTGCTCAGCACTGACCTGGATGTTTCAAGAACAATCTAGAACATGTAAATTCTGTACAGATAGGACATGGAAAAAAATGCTGTTTCTATATGTCACTCTTTGCAACCTTGGATGATCTCAGCTAACTTTTCCCAAAGAATATGACCTTTATGAAATAATTTTGCATAGACACAGCAGAAGTCTTTTTCAAGGGTTGACAAGTTGGCCACTCACAGGCCCAACTAGGCCTCCGGCTGAAGCAGTATAATCCACCAGGTTTCTCTAGCCAAAATACGTATTTAAATATTGCTACTATTATTGCCTGGTCACAGGTTCATGAGAGGCTGGAGGTAAACATTTAACCACAATGCATCTCAATATATTAATTTCTAACTTGATTCAATCACCCAGCACAACAAGCAGACCCTAGAGTAAGAGCAGATAGGAAAGACACAATCCAAAATCAAGAAAGAAAAAAAAAACTAAGCCAAGATGGCTTTATTTTTTAACTCTGTCCATTTCCCCAGCTTGCCCTTATACAAGGGTAAGGGGTACAATATGGAAACCAGAAGTAGTACCAAACTTTTACAAAGTGCCAACCATAAACTAGTAAATTGGTGAAATAATATTATTTTTAATAAAAAATACTAAATTAAAAGTATCCTTTAAATTTTTTTACAGA